GATCAGATTTTAATTTTGAATATTTTATTTTTAAACCTATAGGAAAAACCAAAGGAAATAGTTGATGTGCTATTTCATGACATGGAAGTGCACCACCATGAGTTGCAGTAAGTTGTGTATATTCAATATATGCTTTATACTTATCAACACAAAGACCAATGCATGAAAAAAATTTTACTGATGACTTACTGATTTTGTGCATTAATTTGAAAAAATTTAGTAATTTCTTGGGCGTTTTCTTTCTTTTACACCTGCCACTTTCTACATGCTGATTTATATAATCTTCATCATGAGGACACTTTAAATTTATTTTATTACCACAAATACATGTAACATTAGTACCATCTTCAGAAACTTTTCAAACATAGTCATTGTTAAAAGATGCTGTTGGTATATTTTACCATTTTATATTTTTTATTTATATATAAAAAAGGAAAAAATCATCACACTGCTTAAATTTACCCAAATTCAAATACACCCTTATGAAAATTTCTTAAACTACCCTATTTTCAAATGTACCATATGAGGTCAATATCCAGTTTCAAATGTACCATATGAGGTCAATATCCAGTTTCAAATGTACCATTTGAGGCCAATACCTGCTTTTCAAATATATCACCATCAAAAAAAAGGTGATTCTACCCAAAATTGAAATGTACCATTTACTAAGATTGTTCGGGGTCCTCTTGCACTATACATATTGTGACATTTCCTATAAATCAATAAATTGGTGGCATGAATATGATATATGAATTTGAAAATAAAAATAAAAATAAATGTAAATATAAATATAAATATAAATATAAAAGAAATATATTTTAAATACACTTTTAAATTGTATACATCACTTTATAATTATACCTTGAGTATATCTGTTATTGTTGTTTAAAAATCCTTGTTTTTTAAATGCATCATAAAAAATCAAGATATAACCTATTGTATGATCATCAAATATATAAAATAAATACATATTTCTTTAAAGTACACAGTGAAACTCGATTTAGCGGATAATTTCGGCCACTTAGTAAAAATTTTTCAAAAATCCGTTAAATTGAGATTTAATTAGTACATCTGTTATATCGAGAAATTTACTATATAAAAATGCAGCCCAGTTCTGAGCCTCAATCTGTTAAATCAAGATTTTTATTAGACATCCACTAAATTGAAATCCGCTAAATCGAGTTTCACTGTGTATAATAATAATAACGAGAATATAGAATAAGTATTAACCTGCATTACTTATTAATAAAGGAAAATGTTATCATTCATATTTAAAAAACAATAAATAATCATAATGACACAATTCTGGCATACAAGATCACAGAATCCTTAAACTTTTACTTCTAAGGTAACCTATTGAAATCAAATTGATCAAATTGATCAAGCTTTACCAAAAATATAAAGATAAGTCAAAGTGATGTATCTATTTAAAAAAAAATTTTTTCCATAAAATGGGTTTTGTGCGCAGTCACTCAACTTTTTTCTATTCTAAATTCAATTGAAATAGCGAGTTTCATAATATAAAAAAGGTTGACGATCGATTTTGTCACAAGTGATAAAACGAATGTCAACTATGCTCTACCATGCTGGATAATTAAATTAACAATTTCCCAAAAAATGTGTGCACGCGGGTCGTGTAACGTTACACCTTCCCGCTGAATTTTACGCACTGGCGACTCTACGCCGGAGTAACAGTTTAAATTTCACAGTGGTGCGTGTAACAGAGGTGGATTAAGATACATCCGTCAATAACAACATCTGGAACAAATAATCTCAGATCTGTAAAATTAATTTAGGATAAAATAATCATGGATCCATATAGACCACCTGCTTACAGTTAGTATTATTTACTTTTTTTTACAAATTTTCAAGGGTTTATTTATAATTAATTTTAATTTTAAATCACTAGATCAATATCGCCCGTCATACGAACGTCAATCTTTTGTTTTTCCAACTATTCAATCTTCTTATGTACAACAACAACCTGCAAGACCTAGTTACATTCGACCAAATTATAGACCAAACTATGGACATATGCAAATTAGTGGGAATGCAAGTCAGATAACTTCCACTCTGGGATCAGAAGTAGAGAAATTAACAACACTATTTATTGGTGGAATATCTTCTGGTGTGACTGATGATTGGATGGAAAAAATTCTAAAGGTAGGATTTCATTAGTTATATTAGATTTGGTTGGAAGTAAATAAATAAGATATATAGATATATAAAACGTGTATATTATTGACATTATTATGCCGACAAAAACTTGATGATACTTTTACCAAAAAAAAAAAACCATATGATATGAAATTAAAGGGAAATAAAGTTATCTTTAAAAAATATATATATTTGAAAACCCCTTATTTGGACATACATACACATATATTGGCTATTAGAGGATCAATGCGCTAAAAGGAGGTTTGATCATATTCCTTTATTATAAAGGTTCATACATATATATAAGTAAAAATGAATTTATTGTAGATGCTAAATAATTTCTTTAACAGATAACTTTATCCAATTCAAACTTTTTTTTTGATTTACATGGAAGAAATTATTATTATTATTATTTTTTTAAAAAAGGTGTGACCTCTTTTTTAATACAATAGCTGACCTTTTTAATTATTTTTAATTATTATTATTATTATTATATGTATATATTTCTTGATTACAATTTTTCACGCATAAACACATATACATAATCTATATATTTCCTTACTTATTGACGATGATGAAAAATATTAAGACTTGCGGCACACTTAAATCTTGGAAACGTGTCAAAGATCAATCAGGGAATCCTAAAGGGTTTGGTTTTGCTGAATACACTGATGCTGATAGTGTTCTACGAGCTTTACGTGTTCTTGGAGGTGAAGGCTCAGGCGATGATAAAAAAGATAAAGGTATTATCTTGCCTGCATTAGAGGAAGGTGCTACTAACAAAAAATTAATAGTAAGTTTTCTTATTTTAAAAGAGATAAATTGTGTAGGGATTCGGTTTAATATTAAAATTATGGATCATTCTGTGTGTTTATAGGTTAAAGCTGATGAAAATACTAGAAAATATTTGGATCAATATGAGGCATCAAGACCTAGAACAGTGGTTTGTATTTTATAGATATGAGCAATTATCATAATTTAATATGATTAATATCTTGTATATACACACTTAAAAATATATATATATAAATAGCATGACACTGAACTTGATAAAAATGCGTTGCTTGCTGTTATAAATGTGGTAGAGGAAATGACCAAGCCACCTCAAGAGAAACCAGTTTCGCCATCACCAGTTTTATCACAGTCAAACAATAACAATATCAATAAATCTAATACAAAATCTTCACCGATCACCGAACAACAACAACAACCTAATGAATCAGCAGAGAAAGATGAAGAAACAGATTTGCCATCAGACTTACCACAAGAACAAAAGGATCTTATCTACAGAGAAATTGCATTTTTCAGAGAACGTGCAGCTGCAAGAGAACGAGAACGTCAACGAGAAGAGGAGGAACGTTCAAATAGGCGCGCAAGAGATGAGCAGTTAAAAGAGCATTCTTCTCATGCAAAAGAACGTAGGGAGAGTAGAGAACGTTCGTATGGACATCATCATCAACCTGTTAATTTTGTTCCTGCTAGAGAGTCAAGGCGTGAATCATACATTCTTGATGATGAAGAGGAGGAACAAAGAAGACAGGCAAAAAGAAAAATTGAAATGGAAGTAGCTTTTAAAGAGGTAGAGTAGTTATTATCATTAATTTGAGTAGAAATCTATATATAAAATAATTAGACCTATATGACTCGGTTATTATTATAGAGGGAACGTCGCTGGCAGCATAGAGAAGAAGATATGGCAATAAATAGAGAACGTGAATCAGAACGTGAGTTGAGTATACGAGAAAAACAAATACGAGATCGTGAATTAATGGCAAGAAAATTAGCTGAATGGGATGATGATATCGAGGCTGAAAGAGGTCAAGAAGAATACTATAGAGATCGGTTAGTTAGAGTGTTGTCTATTCTTTTAAGAAATCAATTGAATTAATTGAATCATGTAATTTATTATCCAATTATATAATTTATATATTTATTATATAGGCCCCGTTGGTGGTTTCATAGACAACAATATAGAGCACGCGAATTAGCTATGGATGAACAAGATAGGCATAAAGAACAACAAGAAGTAGAGAAACGTCGTTTAGAATTGGAACGTATAATTGAAGAAGAAAAGAGACAACGAACAGAAGCCATGGAAACTGAAGTAAATTTTGAAAAGGATGCCTCATTAACAGCATCAAATGGTTCACAGAATAATAATATTAAGGCTAAGCTTACACTCAACCTTTCTTCAAAACGTCGTGCAGCTGTAATTGCACCATCTGAAGAAGATGAAGATGATTACGACGATGAGGAAAGTGAGCATAAGAGAAAACGCAGAGTTTTGGTTCCATTGGAGTATAGTGATGATGATGATGATGAAAAGAAAACTGAGGAACGTAGGAAAAAAATTAAAGATTTGGTAGAGACTATTCCTACCGATAAAGAAGGTTTATGGAAATGGAATGTTAAATGGGAAGAGTTGGACGAGGTATTTTAATATAGTCCTTTTTATTAATAAAAGAAAGATAGATAAACTTTGATTACGAATTTTTGCTGACTTGATTTTTATCTTCCAGGCAATAATTGAGAAGAAATTAAAACCATTTGTTAGTAAAAAAATAGTAGAATATTTTGGTGTACAAGAAGATGAGTTGGTTTCATTTGTAATGGACCATTTACGCAACAAAAAATCTGCATCGCAATTAACAAAAGAAATGGAAATGGTATATAGATTTTTAGGTTATATATATATATATATATACATAATATTTATTTATTTTAAAAGAAATTAAATTATATTCTTTTTTTAAAAAAAATAGACATTGGATGAAGAATCAGAGCTCTTTGTGATGAAATTATGGCGGATGTTAATCTTTGAAACAGAGAGCAAAGCAAAAAAACTTTAGGATGATTTGATTTGATTTTTATATAAACGTATGTTAAAAAAATTTTTATAAATCAAAAACAAGATATTTAATTATATATTTAAATAAAATTAAAAGGCTAATTGTAAATTTTAAAATTACATTGTTACTGTAATGACAATGTATATCATCACAAAATCTTTAAATTGTATCAGTAAATTTGAATTTAATTTTTCACTGAATCTAAGAAGTTTAGACATTTAATCAGTAACATTTATAATAACTTTACCAATACTAACGTTACTTTCTAGATATTTATGCGCCTCAGAGATTTCTTTCCAATCAAATACTTTGTCAATTATGATTTTTAAAGGAGATTCAGGTGTTGTGAATAATGGAAATATATTTTTGTAAAATAGGTTCCTAAGATTAATTTGGTAATCGAGTGGCCTGGATCTTAGAAGTGAACCTTCGACCTAAATCACAAAAATTTTTAGAATAAAGATTGAGAACAAACAAAGGAATTCAAATATATTTACTCACACGAATGCTTTTAAGAAAGAATGGTCTTAAATCAACATTGCTAACAGCCATACCTAGAAAATTTTTTTTAAAATTAAAAAGAATACATTGAATATATATATATATATATATATAATATTAAACACTTATTTACCTGACATTAAAGAAAGAATTACCATCCTACCATCAACTGCAAGACAATCCATATTTTTATGCCAATAATCTTTACCCACAAAATCAATGATAATATCTACACCACGATTATCAGTGTATTCCAAAACCTAATAATATATATTCTATTATTTATATTTATTTATATTTTGATTAAAATTCAGATTTTTTTATTATTTTAACTTGCCGTTTCTTTAAAATCTTCAACTTTGTAATTAATTCCTTTGGTTACACCTAATTTCTCAATAAATTTTACTTTAAAAAAGACAGCTTAGTCCTTATCATTTTATTATTATTTTAGAAATGAGTTATCGTTGATAATTTATTAGTTACGCTTTAGCCAATTTTGATAATTCTACAAGTGCTAATCCGACACCACTTGCACCAGCATGAATTAAAATATTATGACCTTCTTGAATGTTGGCAATCAAATGTAAGGCCTGATAAGCAGTAAACCATACTTCAGGTATTGCAGCACCTTGTTGAAAAGTTAATTGATCTGGTAATAACATTACCATGTCTTCATTTATAAGTGCATACTAAACAATTAAAATAATGTAAATATTTAAATATAATTCATTATAAATTAGTTAGTTGGCTAGTCACCTCGGCGTATGCACCTCCATACAATAATCCAAATACTTTATCACCAAACTTATATTTTGTGACTTTATGAAATCGATACATATATTAATATGTATATAATAATCATCCAATAATTTTTATACACAAACCTTTTTTACCAACATTTTCAACAGTTCCAGAAATTTCAAAGACCAAGAATCTGGCTTACACCTTTTGGTACAGGGTACTTACCTCGACTTTGGTAAATATCGATTCGATTCAATCCAAAGCATTTCACCTAACAAAAGAAAAACCCATGTCAAATTTTGGAATATATTCTTTCTATAGTTACTAATTATAATTACTTTTACTAATACATCATAGTCGTTTGGATTGGGTTTTGATGATTCACCAATGTATAATTGAGATGCGTGATCTTAACAAGCAAACAATAAAAATATTCATTATTTGTTCATTTGTTTGCAATTTATCAAGAGCAATTACCAACAAGTACAGCTTTCATCATCTTTATTGTTTTAATTCACAGTTTGAAAAGAAATACATATTGCAGATCGGGGCAAAATTTCCTTGTTCCTATGTAAAAAAATTTCCATCATATAACTTTATCCCCATATACGCATAATAAAAATTTAAATTTTATTTTTTGGGCTCATTCCTAAATCCGTAAGATATATACTATAGAAGTTTGCCTAAACTACTAAATTTCGGCAATAGTTTCGGCAAATTAAAAAATTTAGTTTCGGTTTTCAAG